GTGTCGAGTTGTTGCCATTTCGTGTCTTGTTATCGCTATATCGTGTCTTGTTATCGTCATGTCGTGTCGTGTTATCGCTATTTCATCTTTGGCTATATCGCAATATCGCTATATCGTGTCGCCATATCGCAATATCGTGTCGTACTATCGCTTTGTCGCGATATCGCCTAGATTTCTTCAGGGCGATAAAGCGATGGGTCTGAATGAGCCACCATAGAAATGACAGTGGTTAAGAGTATTTTTCCAAGAGTCAGGTAATACATGTAGTAAATATTCATAATCTAAAAAAGTGCCTTTGATACCATATAATTCTTTTAAAGAATCCATTGACAATAATCCAGTTTCATCACAAATATCCCTAATATTTATAATCCCTTTATCTGCCCAGTTCTTTAATGAAGTTTAATGAATTTTAAAATTATGATTAAAACCATAATGGTTGATAGAATTTCATTAATGTTATTAGGGTCAATACAATGGTTTTGTGGAATAGTTGCCATGCTTTTTAGCACATCACGCCAAAAAGGATTTTCAATCTTAAAGTAAGTTTCAGAATTTGCTCCAAAATTAAATATGTCTCTTTAAAAGGTATATTGCATGGATTATTCTTATCACCTCTTTTGAAATACTGTCTTAAAGTAGATAATTTCAAAGCGTCTATAAATGTTTTTGCATCAATCGGCCTCAAACCTCCTTCTTCATAGTTTTTTAAATACATTCCTTTTTATTTTATCATTCTTGTCATTTCCAAATAAATTTTAAAAACACTTTGTCAAGGGACATGATAAATTCTGCTGGTGGGTTTGGCAAGGAAATTTGAAAATGGACCAATCTTGGAGGACATAGAGTTTTTCATTACTGTTATTTTACCGATAAGTGTTAAATTTCTTTTTCCAAGATGCTAAGGAGTCTATTAATTCCCTCCAGTCTCTTTTTTGTGTTGATTACCCATAAGTCTTTAAGATCTGGTGTAAATTTAATACCTAGCACATCAAATTCACCAGTTACCCATTCAATTTTCAGATCATTACATATTTTTATCCATAGATTTAGCTTTGGATCCAATCCAGATTGCTTTTGATTTGTATAAATTAATATTCATTATCATTGATGACAATACCTTTGATGTTTTCATTATTTCTTATCATGCAAACCGAGAATCTCAGCCACAAAAGGAAAAGATATGGGGATAGTGGGTCTCCCTGTCTACATCCCCTTTCATTTGCAAAGAACTCGGATAGATTACCATGTTGGATAACACAAGATGTTGTCTCATAGGTTAATATATTTATCCATCTTATCATTTCAGGGCCAAATTCAAGTTTATGTAAAACCAGGTTGATAAAATCTTTTGAAACAGTGTCAAACGCTTTTTCAAAGTCAATCAGAATCAGCAAACCAGGAATGTTTTGTTTCTTTGTTTCAAACATTATATCATATAACAATCTTGTGTTTTCAAATTTATAGTCCTACCCGGTATAAAACCAGTTTGGTTAGGGTGAATAAGTTCATCTAAAGTAGTTTTTAATCTATGTGCAATGCAGGAGCTGATAATTTTATAAATAGCATTAAGTAAAGCGGATTGGCCTCCAATTCTTAAGTAATGTTCTATCTTTTTTTGATAATACACACCTTTTCATATTCAAAGACATTTCCTTTTTGTTGATACTTCTTTTAATAAATCCTATAGATCCAAATTTTTAATTCTTTCCAAAATGTTTAAAGAAATCAATAGGAAATCCATCAATCCCTGGGCTTTTATTATTCTTCATCCTGCAAACAGTATTGCTTTAATTTCATCCAAACTGATTTCTCTTTCAAGATAATCTCTTAGTGTTTTTGTTTAAAAGTTGGAGTTTAATATCCCTTTAAGCAGTCTTCTTCCTTATATCGTTCCTGAGAGGCATAGAGAATTTTTATAAAATAGTTTTACTTCATTCAGTATTGATTTGCTGTCAGTGATTTCGTTCTTATCATTAGTTATTATCTTATTAATTGTTTTTTTTTGAAATTCCTATTTTCTAGATGGCAGAAATATTTTGAAGGTTTTTCTCCTTCTTCATACCAAAGAATTCGATTTCGTGTATTTGTATTCCTTTCATTTCCTCACTTTTAATTTCTTCCATTTCTTTCTTATAGTTTGATAGTTCATTCAAAAAAGTTCTTCGTTAATGTTTTGGAAGTTTTTCGAAATGGTATCTTCGACCTGTTTTATTTTAATTCTAGTTCTTCTGTATGTTTTACCTTTGTTTTCTTTATGTAGGATGAAAAAGATATGGTCTTTCCTCGGATTTTCATTAATAATGTTTCTAGAAATAAGGAGTTGGAAATTGTAAGTTTAATATTTTCAGTGTTTTTAAAGTTATCTATTTTTTCTGTTGAGTATTCCTGAACAGTGTCATTTAAAATAGTTCTGACTAAGTTTCCATATTCAGGATTTAACAACAAGGAATTATTAAACTTCCAGTACCCATGTCCTCGTTCCTGGCTTAAAGCGTTTGAAAAAGTTAACGTTATTGTTGAGTGGTCACTTTTATAGCCTGGCAAAATATCTGAATCCAAGGTTATATCAAATATATCTTCTGATACAATAAAGAAATCAAATCTGGCTTGTTGTCTTGGATGTTTTTCCACCAGGTATTTTCTACATTTATCATTCAAATTCCTCCAGACATCAATCAGATTATAAGATTCGATAAATTATAATACAGTATTTCTTGATTTTGGGTTGTTTACATGCTTATAATTCTCAAGATCAATTGTAGGATCAATCACCAAATTCCAGTCTCCAACAATTACCATAGAATCATTCTCAAAATTCAGAATACTTTCAAATAGATTAATGTAAAAATGATGGTCATCGTTATTAGGACCATAGAGATTAGTCAGTGTCAGTCTTTTATCCTCTACGGTTATATCAGTGATTATATAATTGCCATTTTCATCTATTAAAAGGTCCTGTGTATTTTGAGATCAATATCGTTGTTAAAAAGAATGGCCACTCCTCTGGAATTAGATTTAAGAATGAGGAAGTTAGTCTGGGGGAGAGTGGGGATTAAGTGCAGTGCAGTGAGAGAATAGCTGTGAGTTCTGCAGTATTTATTGTGGTGTGGTTTGTATAGTGGAGGTTGGTTGTAATAGGGGTTTTGTTGGACATGAATGCCTATACCAGTGGTTTTGTTTTGGTTGATTGAAGCATCTGAGTATATATGAGTGTGGGTTGGGTAGCTGTTGTTGATGTAGTTGTTTGTGATGTTTGTTATAGTGGATTTGTTGGTGTCTTTTGGTAGCTGATGGAGGATGTTATCTAGGTTAGTGTCTGTGATGGGTGGGGGTTTGTCGTGAATGTAGCTTGTAATGGGAGGTGTATGTTGTATGTCGTTTAGTTGTTGTGAGTGTAGCAGTTTGTAGAGGTTGGTGATGCATGAGGCTCTTAAAGGGTTGAGTTTGAATTTTTTAAGTGTTGATTTCTTTATGTTGTTGTATTTGTGTGTAACGAGTTTAAATAGTGGATTGTGTTGGGCCCCAGCCCAGTAAGTGAGTGTTGTTTGGTTGATTCTTTGTGTGATTGAAGTGGTGCCTGAGAGTAGAAGGAGTGTGTTTAGGGAGGTACCACTCCTCGTGCCTAGGGCTAGTTTTAGGGCTTTGTATTGTATAGAGTTTAAATTTTTGGAGGTTGCAGGGGAGAGGAGTGGAGGACCGGGGCGGCGTAGTCCAACTTAGGCAGTATAAGCGTTTTGTATATGTTGATGAGTGTGTGTTTGTCGGCACCCCAGTCTGTGCCGCTGATGGCTCGCATTAAGTTGAGATCTTTTTGACAAGAGTTGACCAAGTTATGAATGTGGGGTGTCCATGTCATATGATGGTCGAAAGTTACTCCTAAGACTTCGCTTCCTTTTTGAATTCAATTTTTTTATTATTTAGGTGCAGTTTGGGTGTGTAATTTTGCATTCTTTGAGTTTTGAAAAGTATGCCCACAGTTTTTTTTAACATATATGAGGAACCCCATTGCTGGGGCCCAATTTTGAATGTGGTTAAGCATTCTTTTACATTTAATAGAGACTTGTTTAATAGAGGTGGAAAGAGGTCAGAAGGAGATATCGTCTGCAAATTTAGCTTTGGAAATTTCCGGCCATTTTTCTGGGAATGTATCATTAATCATGAAGTTAAAAAGTGTTGGAGATAATATGCTGCCCTGGGGGTCCCATTTTCTAGGGGATGGGGGTCCGAAAGGGTGTTGTGAGATTTGAGGGTTATGAATCTATTGTTTAGGAAGGAGTGAATGAAATTTAAAATTCTGCCGTGTATGGCATTGTTTTGGAGCTTTTGTAGTAGGCCGTTGTGCCAAACCATGTCAAATGCCTTACTAAAGTCAATGAAAATGGCCATAGTGTATTGTTTTTGAGCATGGGCTACTTTCATATCTTGTTCTAAATGTAAACTGTGGTCCAAGGTGTGCTGGTTTTGAGTAAAGCCACTCTGGTCGTCCTTTATTAATTTTTTTGAATTTATAAGATGTTTGAGCCTGTTGTTAATGATACTTTCTAGGGTTTTACATAAATGGGAAGTGAGAGAAATAGGGCAATAAGAGTCAGGCTCATTGCTGGGTTTTCCTGGTTTGAGGATTGGTACCACCCTGGCTGTTTCCATGTGTTTGGTATAGTACCTGATGTCCAGATATGATTAAAGAGAGTAAGTGTTACGTTTTGCATGTTTGGTGTGAGTTTGTTGAGTATAGTGTATGTAATGGTATCTGGACCCGGGGCTGAGGCTGTCTGTTTGTTTCTGAGTGCAGATTGGAGTTCGTGTATGTTTATGATTTTGTTTATTGGTAGGTCTGTATGGTGTGGTTGTGGGGTGTATGCAGGATGGTTTTTTATGGTGTTTTGGACGGAGGGTGGGTAGTTGGCGGAGCTGCTTACGGCCAAAGGTGGACAACAAATTCATTAGCTCTGTCTTTGTTTGTGGCTAAGTCCGGAAAGTTTGGAGAAACGGTTTTTTTGGAGATGCCCTTAATGGCCTTAAATTTATTCCACATGGTTCTGGAGTTTCGATTTGTTAGCCTAAGGGTAGAACAAAATATTTTCCAGTGGTCATTTTTTCTGCCTTGATTAATGTCTTGGTTTTGTTTCTTAGTTGTTTTGCCAAATGTAATTTGGAATGGTCCCTTTTTGATTGATTAAGGGCCCTTTTTCTTGCCTTTCTGGCATTAATGATTTCTGTGCTCCACCAGGGGACTGTTCTTTTTGTGCACGGTTGTACCAGAAAGTGGGCATGCATTTTTCTGAGATGTCTAATATGGTGTTAGTGAGATTTGTGTTGACTATGTACATCAACCCCATCCATTGTATATACGTCCACCTGGCTTCCTATAAGTTCTAATTTAGTCCTTGTATATAACCCTTCTGGCTTCCAATCAACTTGCTCAATCTCTTATGTATACAAGCGTTGTACATCAACCTCATTTATTGTATAAACAACTCATTCCCTATCTACTGTAATAACAACTCATGTATGTATTCTCTCAATTTGTTACTCATGTATCACTTGCTTGACAACGACTTTAGAACCTATGTCGAAACGTCGCCTCCACAGAATAAAAGAAGTTGTATAACCATAATAATTCAATTTGTCATTATTCTTCATCAACTCAACTTCTAAAATGCCCATGTAAGAAATAATTCAATTGGTTGGTGTGATTAAGTTGGTTAAGACAATTCGTATCCAGTCATGTCATAAAATATGTAATTCCCTTATTTACATCATAAAATGAACGTTTCCGTTATTATAACGATATGACTATTGCATACGTGCAAATTGCATGCCAAAGGAAAGTCTACATCTGTATTAGATATTCTCTAGCGTCAAGTCATACAACGCCATTCATGGGCTGAAAACCATTTAATACTATCCAGACATTACGAATGGCGACTGAGCTCCCGTTTGTAGTCGATCATGCGCAGCCAGCCCTGAATTGTGGGTAATATCGCTTTCTCGCTTTCTCGCTCTATCGCTTTCTTGCTTTCTCGCTCTATCGGTTTCTCGCGCAATGATATCGCTTTTACGTCTCGTGCTATCGCTTATACCAACATTGGTGGTATATTGAGAATAAAAGTAAATAAAGTAAAAGCTACAGCCAGACGTCATCGCATAGGTTTTGATAAGCTGATTGGTGACACGTGTAGTTAACCTTTCGTAACATTTTCCAGGGTAGGACTTGAAACTCGTTCAATATATGGATTTATCTACCTGTATTATCTTGTTTATAATTTGGTCAACTCATGTCAAAACGATTCAAATCGAATGAGAGCAATAGGTGACGTTCACTGGGATGCAGACAAATAAAGACATCTACAAAACATTTATCATGCTCACACTGGAGTGAGTCGCTCCCGTCCTTCTCTATCCCCTACCAATTATGATAAACTAAACTCTTTACAATATAAAAGCCCCAACCCACCCCACCCCAAATGTCATAGGTGTAAAGACTAGTACCTACTACCTAGTAGTTACTAGAAGAAACCAAATTACTCTAAACTACCAGGTGAACAAAAAGGCAACCTTAAATTCAGAATAAACCCTTTAAAACATTTCTATCCAGCCACACATTACAGTTTATGCTCGATTATCCAGACTTACTCACAATGTCAAGGTGACACACCGCACGTTTCACAACCAACACATAAACACCGTACCCTGCCTACCCAGCCCTACTTTTTAACATTTAACCCCTTTTCATCTATTTAGTAGACTCCTTATTAGTTTATCAGCAACAGTTTAACTGTTCTGCACAATAAGTCACAAAATAGCATACACTACTTACTTAGTTGAACTTCTACGCAATCAACTTCCCAACCCTCTTACGTCCAACTTCTCAACTCCCCATCTAAACTAAATTTATACAGGTGTTTTATGATATAGTGCTTTATTCCCCAAGTAATAATTTTATTACGGTTTTGTTAAAACACCTACCACGTCAGTCGATGAATTATGGCACTGTCTCAAGTCGATGGTTGGGATATAGGGACAGACAGAGATATAAGTATATGTACACAAGCCATTCTTGTAGAAGTATGGGAGACTATGGCACATTCATTTAGAACAATATGTTTTTCACATAGTAGTAGAAATAAATATGTTTGAAATATGCACACATAAAAAGACCAGATGAAGTCACAGGGTGTATAAAATTCCATCACTGATACAATGAAGTCCGATGTCGAGAGAGAATATAATATAGGATTTTGGCAACGTTAAATCACATGGGGAGTTGGTTTGGTTTATTGTTTAACACCGCACTCGGCACTGTACCAGCTATATGATGGCGGTCTGTAAATAATCGAGTCTGGACCAGACAAGCCAGTGATCAACATCATGAACATCGATCTACGCAGTTGGGTTACGATGACATGTGTCAACCAAGTCAGCGAGCCTAACCACCCGATCCCGTTAGTCACCTTTTACGTGTGAGATGTAAACATGAGGCGGATGGTCCCTTTAAGTATTGCGATACTCGTGCATCACACACGTGACACGGTGAGCCAATCACGTCAGAGTATTGTTAGCGGGTCGTCCGTGTTGCATGTGTGCATCAGTCTCGTCTTGTCTTCTGTCCTGTCCAGTCGTCGTGGTGAATGTTTTGTGTGGCGGCCGGCCGCCTTGATTGTTATCCCTTACAACGACAAGCATGAGTTGCTGAAGATCAATCTAACCCGGATCTTCACGGGTAACATGGGGAGTAGGCAAATATGTAGCTTTAACCCAAGAAAAAACATTACTCGTAGAATAACTTAAGGAATTTATGGATGTCAACTTCTGTATTTATGGAACACGATGTTACGGAGTATATTCTTATTGCTTCATCAGGTGAATGAAGAAACTAGGAAACAGAAAGCTATATACGTACATTTAAAACAACAGTGATAAGATAACAAGGGAAGCCAGTTGTTAATTATTGCTAAATTGGTAGGGTGGATGGACAAATGGAAGCCAGGGATTGTTAATCCAGGAATGAATGATGAGATAACAATGGTGGCATTTAACAAAAGGAAATGACAATAAAGAAATGTAAGCCGGGAATTTATCCAGGCCTAATTAGTGATGTAACAATAATGGTTGTTATCCTTTTTACAGACTTTTAAAACACTCATTTATTTCAACGAAAACACACTCGGTTTCTGGAGTTATTGTTGGCTTATTGTTTGGACAAGTTAAAGGATTAATTACAAAATGCCACAGAATTTGAAAGCATGCATGTTCATTTTGTTTCTATAAGACTAAAACAAATGGCGATAAAGCCTTCTGTTGGATTAAATTATACGCAGGCAAGACGTTATGTGCTGACAGCTCAAGATTATGGGAAGTATCGCTTTCTCGCTTTAGCGCTCTATCACTTTCTCGCTCTATAGCTTTCTCGCTCTATCGCTTTCCCCATTGTTATATCGCTTTCTTGCTCTATCACTTCTCGCTCTATATATTTCTCGCTTTCTCGCCTTGTTATATCGCTTTTCGCTCTATCGCTTTCTCGCTTATCACTTTTCTCTCTTCTCTATTGCTTTCTCGCTTTCTTGCTTTCTCGCCATATTGCTGTCTCGCTGTATGTCATTCTTCGTCAATGATATCACTTTCTCATCTCGAGTTATCACTTTCTCGTCTCGTGCTATTGCTTTGTCGCTTTTTGTCTCCGAATTTTAAGGTAAGAAAGTGATGGCCCTAATGAGCCACCATAGTTTAGTACATACGATATCAGTAACCAAACTGTATGCAATAAAGTGAAAACAGAAATGTAGGCCCAGTTATTTTTCTGTCTATAGAAACTTTTGTAAATGGGCCCATATTTTGAAAAAAATAAGTAAAATTAAAAATCTTAGCATCTAAAAATGTGTTGACTGTAGTTATGCAACAGAACGAAAAACGACCTCGCAAACAAAACTGTAGGCATCAATGTAATCAGAAATATGGACCCACTTTTTAAAATTTATGTTCATTTTTCGATATTTCGAGTGGGCCCACCTTTTAAAATTAGACTGGTTAAATATATTCGTCTTATCTTTCAAAAATTACATTTGAAAACATTGTAAGTGATAAAAAACGAACACATGCGTAGAGATTGTATTCATTCAAAACAAAAGACGTTGCATTTTATTTTACCCAAACATGTGCAATGCTCAGAGCAGCTGTCACTTGGTAAGTGACAGCAGTAGCAATTATATAAATCGCCTCATGTGTTTCAGTTTTTCAGTGAAGTCATTCACTTATCGTTAGTGATAAAAATGCAGTTTAATCGAAATTATGTTTTAATTTGAAAGCAACAAAGAGTCAACCATTTGTCGTGATTAGATTATCATTATAATTGAGTGTAATTGTATTGATGGGAAGTTTAACATATTTCACGCCGAAGCTGACAAGACTCTTCACCCATATATACACGTTCAGTTAACGCAATATTCTCGAAACCCTTCCACGTCCCATTATGATTACGACACGATAATATTGCCGTAGAAAGCTCCAAGTAGAAATTCGGTGATTAGCATATGACGCCTATCGATGACATCAAATGTCAAACTGTCAACCAATGACGTGAACCGTTCCACGAAAGGATTACACACACGAATATTAATGACTTCATGACCAAGTTTCGCGGCACAAGTACTGGTGTCGTTTGCTATTGTTTTACTGTGTAGTAACTATTTCATGCATTTTGTATCAACAAGTGAAACTTAGATTGTATTTATGAGTATTGATTTCGTCAGATATCTGTCATATCTTGTCGATAGTGTTTCAAATGTTGTTTAGTTTCGAATGTGGGCCCACATTCGCATGTCCGATGTAGTGAGAGAGTAACCTCCCTTGACCCACGGATGATGGGGTTTCACATAATAGAGTGGGTATGGCTTGAAAGATGCCACTGATTTCGTATGTTTTGCATTATTTCCAGTTGGTACTGGTTACAGGACTCAGTGAGCAATCTTGGGGGGTTGGGGATGGGGGTTGGGTTATTATTCCTTACTTAGGTATTTCTATACACTTGCATCATTGTATTTATGGAGGTATATTGACTGTTGTGGATGACTAGCCTACCAAACCAGGTTTGGTTCAAGTCCCAAAGAACGTCGGTATCCCTCATAATTACATTGTCAAACGAGTGGAGAGTTACTGAACTATGGGGAATTCCTTTATATCCAAACATGATAACACTTATCTTCCCTTTTCGACGGTTCCATCATATGGCATTTGAGAAAGAATGATGTGTCAAATCACCAAAACGAACCATTACATATGTAGTTACTGACTCATTCTGACATTCTGATTCTGACATTACCCAGAATCACCAAAACGAACCATTACATGTGTAGTAACATACGGGCGGTTATGTAACATTGTGGTTATAGTGTTCGCTTGTGACCCTGAGGACATGTGTGAAGCCCATTTCCGGTGTCCCACGCCGCGATATTGCTGGTGTAGTGCTAACAGCGGCATAAAACTAAACTCACTCACTCACTCGTTGTCGTTACATAGATTGCTCTGTTAACCAAAAATATATCACACAGCTAGAAACTGCCGTGTGTGCCATCGTGAAATGAAACTGCATCGCGTCAAGAGGTAATTCCCTTCTTCACCGGCTCATCTAGTCTCCGTAAGATCCAAACACTCACCAAGAGTTCACATAACGTTTATGTTACACAATTTCCACTATCACCCAAGTCTGAGTTTCATTTTAGTTCCATTTGTACTTTGGCATTTTGTCGCGTTTGTAAAACCAAGCGACGTAACCCCGAATGATGCTTGGGACGGATGACGTCGGTACTCGGGACTATATAGTCTGAATGGATTGTTTTGTTATGATTCATGTAGCTGAAGTTATGATTGTATCAGCAAATATACCTACAATCCTGAGATGAATGGAAAGGTCGATGTGTACAGGATCTTGTTTCCTTTATTCTTCCATACTTGCTAAAAGAAACTTGAAGCCAATGCAAAGGACGTAAAGATAAGTCATTAATTCTGCAAGGATTCTGGAAACTAAAACAGTCAACCTGAATCTGTTCAGTTCATTAGTAGAGTAGGTTGATGTACAGAGTGATAGTGATTAAAACAATATCCAGAATGATTTACACAATAAATGACTTGATGTACACTCAGATGGTAATGGTGAGTTGAAGAGGGTAGGTGGATGTACACATTGATTGGTTGTGATTACAATACACAAAAGGGAGCATAGAAGCCAATTGGACGAAGTATGGGTGGATTACTGGTGATCTTTAATTAGGTGGTGATAGGCTGAGGAGATAAAATAACCTTGATCCCGGTTCATGGTGGGCTTGAAGGGTTGGATTTTATGTCTTCAAAACGTTTCCTAATCTTGTAGTCTGATCGGTTAGTTTCTAGGATGTGGATGTTGTCCCAAAGTTGGGGATGAGTTGCTGGTCTTCTAAAATGCCTCTCAAAGAAGTGCAAATACTAAAGAATAATACAAGGCAGGGTCAGAAGTGTCAAGCTCTTATTTAACAATAGAATTGTGCATGTGTAATGGACAACAAAGATTTGTTTGTCCACGACACCTATTAAGTCATAGCTGAACTCACAATTTGTTATAACAGATTTCCAACAGCCGTACATCGCTGCACCAGACACAGCCCACGTGGACAGGAGTGTGACGTTGTCCTGCTACAGTGTCTACTATATATATCCTGTTGAAGATGTAAAGGCGTCCATTAACTGGAGGAGGAACGGTTTGCCGCTAGACGAAAGCTCTGAATACAGTATAACACAGAGTCATGATTGGTGGCATGTGCAGGAATCATGACCACTAAGCTTCCAATAGGATTGTGTTTAGCGAAGCTTTATTCTATGATCACAGAGAAGGACGTTGAGAAAACCTCTCTAAAACCCATACTTTTCATTTTAATACAAAAGTACGTTGCTTTATCTCGTATTTAAATTTATCTGTTGTTTTAAATGATATATTTTACATAATTATGTCATACCTGAATATCCTGTTATTTTGCCTTACAAATACATGACCCTGCATATGCAGTTATAGGAAATTTACAGACTGAGCTACTTTCACACAATCTGCTGCAAGTACGGAAGTAAATCCAACATTTCGTAAATCACAACTTGCAGTTGTATCACACTCCATGTCTGTACAAGAACACTGCCCACAGCAAGATATTAAATACTGTACTTTGTACCTGAAAATTCGGGTCACCGATGACAAAACTTTCTAATTACCGGTATGACAGAATTGTATCCCTTAGGTTGGCAGGCAACTTGAATCCATGCCGCTTCATCTTTGGTATTCACGCGTCTTAGCTATTTTCAGTTGGAAGCAATACTATGAACAGATTTTAGAAACCCTTATGCTTTTCAAAAATGTTTTGAATAAAAAAATACTCTCGCTCTATAATTAGGGAAAACAAATGGAATATTTACTTCAGTAGCGATAGCAATGCGTAGAAATCTGGCAACAGGCACAAATAGGGCGAGACATTCTTCTCAAGAATAAAGTCACCTCTTTCTACTCTATGTCACGTATCTACTCTCTGTCAACTCTGTCAATGTACATATATGCCAACTAAGAAATGTACATGACTGAAGCACGTCCCAGCGTGGGATATATCGTTCCCTTGTTCAGAAGACATCTGTGTTTGTGATTTTGTAATTAACAACTGATTCTATAAGATTATTAAATTTCGCACAACAGAGAACACAGCTTGGAAGCGAATACACGAAAGATCACCAATACAATCTAATCCCCGATCGCGATCAAGATCAACTCTACTTGGACTATTTCAAGTTGAACGTTTGATCACTCGTCGTAGACACAAAGAGGTAAGGAATCGTTCTATGTGATTATTAGATTTAGTATCTTTATTAACACCAACAGTTCGTTAGCAGTGTTTTAATTGAATTAAGGGTGTATCAAATTAACAAATCCATTTTCAGTCCATATTATTACACCAAAATTTGCATGCGAATCATATATGCATCATTGACCCTTGATTGCGATACTCACATTCAATGCTACTATAAGATTGGTATTCGCGTAATACCAAATAATAATAATAATAATATAATAACATGAAATGTCGACTTTGCAATGAATTAACAGAGACTGTCCAACACCTTGTCAGTGGATGCCCTTCCTTGGCACAAACAGCATATCTTAAGCGACATGATGGCATGGCTCGTTGCTTTTACTATCGTCTCCATGTCTGTGGCTTTGACCCTGAGGTCCATCCATGGCACGACCCTGAACATGTCCAGGGCGTAATGGAAAATGATGCTTTCAGACTTCTGTGGTACAGGCCCATATACAGCCCTCAGAAGAATTCCAGCTAACAAAACCTTTTTTGATAAAGTTGTTATTTATGTCATTGAATTTTCCGTCCTTTTGACAGCAGTGTAATTGGCAAGATTAAAGCCAATTAAAATTTATTTATCGTCAGTCTCAATGTTTCTGTCCCTTTTGACAGCAATGACACTTATTGGCAGAAGATGTTGGGGAGCCTTCAGGAAAAGCATGATAAATATAAGGCACAAAGGGACCGGGTATCGCCTTTGAAAATGTAAAGGTATTGTTATTACAAAAAAATGAGCATTTTTGGCATCCTAAGTACACTGTCGTCAGTCTCCCCATCTGATACGTATCAGGTTTAACTGTGCACATTGATAAGACTTTATCAGCCATTTTTCGGTTAGAAATGTTGATAGAATGGAAAAAGAACACTTTTGAATTATTCACTCATGTCAGTCATTACATCTTACAATAACATTTGTTCGGTGATATATCTTTGTGTTATAAGATTCAGTTGCTATCACTTAATTACTGAAACGTGCCTTTACAATTACTTATGGTCAACTTGTTGTCGGAGTAATACTGTTGAAACATCATGCATGGCATAACCTTCAAGTCATCAAATGGATAACAATAACAGGGTCTTGTTTAAAGCAGAGCCAATATACCGATAGATTGTCCCTGGGAAACACAATCAAAGTTGATGCTATGGAAACACAGAAAATGTTTAAAGCATGTGTTGTTTTCTTAATGTTTAAATAAAACATCTGTGGTTTTCTTTAAGCTACCTTATACGTAGAAATTATCATAACAACACCACTCCTCTTGTTTGTTCACTACAACTAACTTTGACTACATCAGACAATTATGACCTGAATAACACAAGAATATTAGGACCAAGAACAACATCAATTCGGTAAGTGAATGTCTTATTCAGCTGACTGCATTTGCATGTCATCACACGTGAGAGCATGTTCTGTCCCTTGTGTTTTGTCAGTCAAATGTGATATAGTCAGAATGGGAGTGAACAATACATCGAAATGGGCGTAAATTAAGACAGAACAGGCGGTCATTGAAGCAATTGTTTTCATTACCGTAACAAAACAGAATGAATTACGTGAATACGGTTCCCGCACAAAAGCGGGATTAACGGCGGTATTTGTCTTAATTTGGTTTGACTGAAGTTCGATTTATTCATTGTTTGTCAGGTGGTTGATTTTTAAATAGATAGAAAAGCAATTACAGATCCATCTAATATACTTTGAAATCAGTTAGCACTGTGTAGTGTTGTTTTTACTTTGAGTAAAGTGAATCCACTCGTCGATTTGAAAACGTCTTGTGGTCAATGTGTAATGAGTGTGTGTTAATACATATTTTCCCCTCTGTTTAGGGTACAGAATATCTTGTCAAGTGGCAGGGGTATCCTACTGAGCAGTCGACCTGGGAACCGGCTCAGCACATTACAGCCAGCATCCGACACTAGATAGTCAACGAGAGACCTTTACCCGTGACGCCGGGGTGTCGTTTCAGTCAAGACTGAAGACTCGGGGCCTAAAGTTTTCAGTCCCGTGTCATTTAAACGTGTTTAGAGCCTTATTTAGGACTGACAGAGAAACTCTTCTAGGTAGAAAAGAGCTAGAACGTCTGTGTCTTCCACCTACTGGTGGTATAACATAGAGAAACACGGCGAAGGTACATGTGTTGTGTTTCCGGTCAGAGCGAAACCCTTCCTGAGACAAAGGACTAAGCAAACTGTGCATGATGGCCGAGTCACCAAGATAAGCATCTCTGTGGAGTCAGTTGTGTTTCAGGCTCGCACACGAGCTTGCACCTTGGACCTGAAATATGTACGATGTTTTGAACATTCACTGTGTTGAGTTGTTTGTTTCTTTGTCATTTTCATAATACTTTTAAGTTCTTGAAATATACCCAATTTCAGACAACCTGAGTAACTTACAATTGAGTAAGTTCAAGGACACTGTTTCTTTGAAAGGTGAACCAAGCCCATGTATCAACTCGAAATACCTTAAGAAAGATGATAAATTTGCAGCGTCTTTGCAAATGACAAATCTCTTCCTCAAAAACTTAAACAAAGCAAAAAGAAGGGTATGGCAATTTAACAATGGTCGATATCCTCAACTCTCAGCTTGCTTACATCAGGATTCACCTGAATGATAGACTAGAAAACAGGCTAGCTACCCAATGTGGAATTGTTTGTCGCAAACTGAAGAAACTGAAAAGAAGGGAAACAGAAAATCAAATGTGAGAAAGACATATACACCATGGCCGTGTTTGAAAGGGAGTTCGTGAAATCCTCAGAAATGAATAATGATGAACGTGAGTCACAATTGACTGAACAGTGGAAGTGGAAGCTCAGTGTGAGGAAATATGGTGCTCCTTAGCTGAAGACACTGTAAACACCCCAGTGGATAGTGATAGTCTTACCCAGCGACAGTCTAGACGACGACTCACACATATTCGGGAGAAGTCTGAGAAAACACTCAAGTTTTTGAAAGAATATGGGTTAACACCCAAACGGCTAACATTGTCAATTGGTAATGCTGTGGATATTACCATTTCATATGGCACAAGTAGCTACTCAAGCTACCAGAAGCTGAGAAGGAAACACTTCGCTCCTTAGTTGGTGTGCTGGACAGGTTTGGAGTGAGTTCTTCAGCGTATCACGAAATTGCTCAACTGTTCCCAACACTTCCATGAACTCATTCAGTTATTAGCATGAAGAATGACATGACATATACTACAGAAGTGAAGCGAGTTCCAGGGAATGTGCCAGAGGCCATGCTAAGCTTCAAGCATGAACTGCAGAAGAAGGCTGCACAGAAGCTAAAATGCGATCCTGATCTGAAGCGCGTCACGGTCCAGCTGACAGGCGATGGCACCCAAGTGAGCAGGGTAGCAAACTTTGTTCATCGTTTCAGCTGGTGGGCAGTTAAGAGACAATAGTCTCTTTAACTCTGAGCACATTAGCTATCGTGAACTGTAAAGAGGATTACGGTGCTCTGAAAGCAAGTCATCAGCCACTGATGGAAGAGGTAAACGATGTCATTAAGGCTGGATGTATTTCTGTTGGTGAACATTCTATTGCAACAGATGTTGTTTTTTGTTCTGACGTGAAAATGATATTAACCATGTTGGGCTTAGGAACCGCAACAGGACATTATGTATGCCCTGACAGGATGACGCAGATTGATGAGCTCAATCTTCTCTCTCAGAGTAACGGATGTCTTTGAGAGAAATCTCATCAATGAGGCAATCAGGCTGGACGAGTCCCTGTCGTTGCAAACGAAACCCAAGAGACACCTAGACGGCCTGATACGCTGTATCTGCAGCTGTGGGGTACCGTTCAAGGTATTGGAGGACAAAGACTCCAAGATGCTAAAATGGACAACCCTGTCAGGTCGTGACAAGAAAACACTTCTCCTCAGGACGCGTTGATGGGATCCTTGGTTCCGAGATTGAATCTACAGTATGTACACTGTGGACACTGTTTGCCGAATACCATGAACTCATCACTTCTGACGATGCATGCTTATCTGGCCATGCAGTGTTCGAAACTGCCAAGTCCTGGATCGAGACTTTTCTCTCCTTGGCTCCTCAATCTGGCGGGTATCAGAGGAGGAATATTACCCCTTACATACACTGCATGGTCTACAACATTCCTTACACGATTAACAGGTTTGGATCCCTAAGGCGATTCAGCTGCCAAGTTGTGGAGAAAACAATAATGAAATAAAACAGATTCACCAGAGAAAATCACAGAAATGGGATGCCACTTTTGACGCCTTAACCATTCAGAAGAGAATGGAAGACAAGACTCATTTTGCTAGAGAAAAGCGGCCTTACTGCAAAAGGCACCTTGAGTATAGGACGGAAGAAATTGTAGAGGCAAGACAAGCCAAAAGGGCTAAGATCGTGACAGAGATACACGAACAACCTTCAGCACAGAGTCAGAGTTACGGGACATGTTAAAATCACATGGTATTCATTCCAAGTCAAAGAGTAGAAAAGATTTCTTGGAAATAGTTAAAAATATATGGTAGATTTTTATGAGATAAGCTAAATGTGATGCACATATATTTTCATGATTTAGAAAAAGACATTCGACGTTTAAGTGTATGTACGCGTTTCTTGAATCTCAGCTCTGGATGAAATATATTTTTCTATTTTTGCTACATACCAAAACACACCTTTATACATGGTACAGGGATTTAAAATTACAGTGCCAATTTTGCTCTTTGTTATCTATGTACTACACACACACACACGCACACGCACACGCACACGCACATGCACATGTACACAGACACACTGCAAAGAACAGAGGTACAGATTCTCCTCTTATTTTTGTGGTTAATCGCATGCATGAGTGACCTGACCCATTTCTTTAATATACCATACGTATTTACCTCCCTTGAAATGGTCCTAACTATTTTATCAATGCTTCATTAATGGACACAAATTACCGCCCTTGAAACGGTCA